AGACACAAAATTAGCCTCTTATAAATTATGACCAGTGTAGCCTAAATATTTCAAATGAGCTAAAGAGTTGACATCGCCCCCATGACCAAATGTAATGAGATCACTAGATAAAAGTTACCTATATCAAGTTATGCAAATATTGTGCTTTCCCCCGCACTGGCCACCCCCTGCCCCAAATCCGGCTGCTGCTCAGTGAATCTCAGGAGCCTGTGATGGATTCGGTTGACCTGCAACAATTGCAGCAAATTCTTTCACCTGAGCGGTGCTAGGAGCACCTAGCCTTTCTGCATATAACCAAAACAAATTTGAATCCAACAGGTAGAGGTTCAGGGTCTTATTGGTTCTGCAGCTCAGGCCTGTGAAGTTTGTGCTATTCATGTCCACTTCAGGAAAGACATGCCTGTTCTCCTCAATGTGAGGAACGGAGCTTGGGGTATCAACCTCACATTCTTTCTCAAGGGAAGAAAATGCAATGTTTGGGGATTTGAAGACATCTGGTTCAGAATCAATGAAGCCTGCCACACCCCTGTTCATAGTCCTGCAACATGCAGTGTAGTAGCTGAAAGGGCTGTAGGAACTCAGAAAATTGCTACACTCCATGCTGTCCGACACCACATGATAAAAGGCCTGCTCCTTGAGGTAGAAAGAATCCAGAGCTGCTGCCATCTCGAGAAAGCTGCACTGTGGCACACTAACGGAGCTCAGCCTAATGCCCACAGCTGTCTGGTTGACACATAGTTCACAGACATTGTGGGTCCTGGAGATGGAGTGCCACTGGGGCAGCACCACAGTGTTGCAGCAGGGGGACGCCGTTATCAGCGGCGGGTCCAGCAGCTGGATTGGGGGCTCAGATGCCAGAGACTTGACCACCGGGGCATCCACTCGCCGCAAGTGCTGAAGGAGCCGCTCCACCACCTGGTCCCCGTGACAGTTGTTGTACTCCAAGGCCACCTCGGTGATCTGCAACACAGGGTGGGCTGCATGAGGCATGGGATGACAGAGGCCTAGAAATCATCGGAATCTGATTCACAAGTAGGAACCCTGGCTGGAAGCACTGTGTCAAATCAAAAGCTGTCACACCGAAATCTATTAATAAGGAGGCTAGGGTTGTTTTTCAGAACATGTAATTCTATTAACAAATAGTGAACCAACTGTTTAGAGACGAAAGGGGTCTTAAGGTGGATGTTTTGGCCTATCATATGACAAGAACAAAGCATGGAGGGGTGAAGTGGCTCACCCCACAATATACATCCAGGTTGTTGATGAAAAACCAGAAAAAGGGCCGAAACCGGTTTGGCTCAGTGGATAGAGCGTTAGCCTGCGGACTGAAAGGTCCCAGGTTCAATTCCGGTCAAGAGCATGTACCTGAGTTGTGGGCACATCCCCAGTGGGAAATGTGCAGGAGGCAGCTGATCGATGTTTCTCTTTCATCGATGTTTCTAACTCTCTATCTCTCTCCCTTCCTCTCTGTAAAAAATCAATAAAATATATTTTTTTTTAAAAAAAGGAAAGAAAAACCAGAAAAAGAATTTAAATCTCAATTCCCAGTAAATTTCCTTTACACCTGGAAAACTCCTCCATACGTCTTTCTTCGTCTAAACTAATAGTAAAAAACTTCCCAAATAACTGAGTTGAATCAAAGCATTTCACACCATATATATTTCCAAATAAATTCAAGCCTCACAGGCTGCAAATTCAACGTTTTTTAAAACATACCCATCCATCTTGCCTTCCCCCATAATCTCTTTTTCCTCCTGTACCCACCCTCCTCAGGAAAAGGGCATCATCAAACTGGAAAAATCAGTTAATCCTTACTTTCTCCTCTGCTTCACTGCAGGCCTCAAATCCAGTCAGTTCTGGATTCAGCTTGGGAACAGGTCCCTCATTTGCATCCCCATGGCCGCTGCCTCAATTCAGGCCCTCAAGCTGTCACAGACCACCATTTTTTTGGCCCCTACTTTAAGCTTCCACACTGTGAATACTTTTTTTGTTTTGTTTTGTTAATCCTCACACCCGAGGATTTTTTCCATTGATTTTGAGAGAGAGTAGAAGGGAGGGGGAGATACAGAGAGAGAGAAAAATCAATGTAAGAGAGACACATGGATAGTTACCTCCCACAAGCACCCTGACCAGGGCCGGGGATTGAGCCTGCAACTGAGGTACGTGCCCTTGACCAGAGTTGAACCTAGGCCCCTTTTGTCTGAAAGCTGATACTCTATCCACTGAGCCAAACTGGCTAGGGCACCACTTATTTTGTTTTTAATATTAAAATTTAATAGCAAATATCAATACAAATTCAGAACTTTTAAGTTACATATACATACATTTTAAAAAGTATATTCCTAAGGCCTGCCTGCAAAAATGGTTTAGAAACAATGCCATCTCAGCATCAGTGAGCATTCCTAGAACCCAGATGTTGGTCTCTAAGTACCACACCCCCACCAGAGGGAACAGTGGTCTCTGACAGAAATGACTCCATATCACAGGCAGGGAGAGAGCACCTTGCATCTGAGAGCTGGGAACCCAAGTCAGGTTTTGTTTGGAGGACTGACAACTGCCCAGGCGGCTCTCCCCCAAGGACAGCTCCCCAGTTAAGGAATGCTTCCCGAGGCCCACGCCCTTGGTGTGGTGCTGTCATTGGTCTCCACATCCAAGGCTTGCACGGACTCCAGCTGCCTCTGTGGGGACTTAACTGGCACTGGGAGCTGGTGGTGTAGATGCCGACCACCTCTCATGGGTCCTGTC